GCACGGCGAAGCCGACCCTCAACACAAGGCGTGCAAGGTGGGGCTGGGGAGGAGAGAAACGCGGGGAGGGAACCTGGGAGACCAAGGACAAGACCGTGCTGGGACATGTGACGCAGACACGGGAGCGCAGGGTGACCTAGGCGGTGGTGCCAAAGGAGAGTCGGGTGAGTGAGGGACCGACAGGAGCAGGCAGCAGCAACCTGGGTAGACGCAGCCACCTGAGGAGGCGCCCCAGCCGGGGGGGTCACGGTGTCCAAAGTGAACAGGCCGGACACCGGGTCCCGGGGGAACGTGGACAGGGGGGCACCAGTGGCGGCCTCGGTACAGACAGCATACCGCTCGTGACTAGGGAACGTAGTGGTGACGCCAAGGTCCTGAAGGCAGCCGACACCAACTAGGTTCCTGGAGAACGAGGGGATATGCAGACCTGTGAGAGAGCCCGAAGGAACCGCCGGACAGGGAAGGGTGGTGGAACTGCGGGCGACGACCGGACCGCCGGAGGGGTCAGCAAGAGAGACGGCAGCTGGGACAGGAAGCGGCGTCAGGGTGGTACAGTCGCGGAAGAAACACCGAGAAGCGCCAGAGTCCAAGGTGAAGGAAAGCGAAGCAGAGGCGTCTGGCAACGGAACGACGGCGGAAGCACCAAGACTACACAAAGCAGGGGATCCTACGCCTGACGCAGCAGGGGAGGCTAAGCTAGGCACACCTACACTAGGCAACAGTGAGTAATAAGCAGGAACCACACTAGAGTCAGCAGCATACATCACATGCAGAGCAGCAACATGGCATCCATGTCCATATCAAAAATCTGAATCTTACGAGTAAGCAAACTGTGCCAGTCCGGGAGGTCTGGCGACGGGCCGAAGCGCTGACGAAAGAGGTCCTCCAGGCGACGAAAACAGCGGGGAGTGGAGTGACCGAGCCTACCGCAAACGAAGCCGCGGCGAGGACCGGTCTGGATCTGGTACTGACAACGCCCGCCACCAGAGCCACCACTCGGCACACCACCACGCGCCCGGCCACCGCCAGCGCCGCGCCACCCGGGCGGGAGGACACTCGTCTGCCGCGTCTGCGACGGCTGCTGCGGCTGCTGCGAAGGCTGCGACTGCGGCGGCTGCTGCGGCTGCTGCAACTGCAGGGGCGGCGGCTCAGCTGGACTGGGCAGGGTCCCCTCGTCCGCTCCAGCACCAGACGACCCGACCCCACCACTACCCCCTCCCGCAACCCCGCTGCCGCCGCCGCCGCGCCCAACCTTGGGGCGGCGGCCCTTCCCCGAACGAAACTGCGCTGCAGCAGCAGTCTCAGCCACTGCGGCAGAGCCGTCGGAGAAGGTACACTGGGCGGGGGCACAACCCTGAAAGATAGCGACCGGCACGACACCGCTCGCCTGGGCGATGGAGCGGTGACGGGTCTCTATCACAGTCAGGGTGTCTACAAAGTCAGTGAGGGTGAGGTCTGCGGGGTGAATGCTAAGGAAGCGGTCGCGGGCGACAGCAAGGCGGTCAGGGAGGCGGGTGGCAAGCAGGTAGAGGGTAGAGGTAATGGGCGGCTGGTGGGCTCTAAGCTGTGCATCAGTGCAGGCTGCACGCCAGGTCTCATCTATCGAGCGCAGGTGGGCAGCGAGGTCAGAGACAGTAGGGAAAGATGCAAGGTCAGGAAAGAGCATCGGGAGGATCAGGCGACCCACCGAGGCAGCCGGAGGGGTGGAATAGCGCTGGATGACAGCATCTAAGTATGCCTGAGCAGTGGTGAGAGACCTAAAGCGAGGGCGCTCGGACGGGGGAAGGGCGTTGCTGATGGCAAGCTGGGCGACAGCATCGCGAGAAAGCCAGACAGAGCGCGCACGGGCAGTGGCAGCAGTGGACTCGCGCTCAGTGGGTGTGGAGTCAGCGGGCAGAATAGCAGGGGGGTCTGGGCAGGGGAGCGTACCGTCAAGGTGTGCGGAAAGCGGTTCACCATCCTGCCGCTGGCCAGTGAGTTGGCGACGAAGGTCGGCAAGCCACGCCTCGAACTCCAGAGGCTGGCCTTCAGCGTCGAAGCGAAGCTCCGCCGCCATCAGGAACAGTGCAGTGCGGTGCAGGGCAGTGCAGCAAGGTGGAGTGCGGTGCCGTGCGGTACAGTGCGATGCAGTGCGGTGGAGGGCGGTGCAGTGCGGTGCCAGGCAGGACAGGGTGGTGCGGGGCAGTGCAGTGCGGGGCAGTACGGTGCAGGGCAGTGCAGGGCAGGGGGGGGGGGGGGGGGGGGGGAGGGGAAACCGTACCAGTGAGGAGGACCGGGGCCGGGGCAGGGACGAGCGCAGGGGCCGTGCCGGTGCAACGGGGCCGGGCGGGCGCGACGGGGCCGGGCGGGCGCGACGGGGCCGGGCGGGCGCGACGGGGCCGGGCTTGTGCGACGGGGCCGGGCGGGTGCGTCGGGGCCGGGCTGGTGCGACGGTGCCGGGCCGGTGCGACGGGGCCGGGCGAGCAGGACGGTGGCCCAGGAGGGGCGCACCGGGGCTGGGCGGGCGCGACGGGGCCGGACGGCTGCGACGAGGCCGGGCGGCTGCGACGGGGCCGGGCGGGTGCGACGGGGCCGGACGGGTGCGACGGGGCCGGACGGGTGCGACGGGGCCGGGCGGCTCCGACGGGGTCGGGCAGGGGGCGACGGGGCCGGGCGAGTGCAACGGGGCCGGGCGGGCGTGACGGGGCCGGGCTGGTGCGACGAGGCCGGGCTGGGGCGACGGGGCCGGGCGAGCGCGACGGGGCCTGAAGGCGTGACGGGGCCCAGGAGGGGGGGGGGGCTCGACGCGGCCCAGGAGGGGCGCTACGGGGCCCAGGAGGGGCACGACGTGGGCCAGGAGGGGCGCTACGAAGCCCAGGAGGGGCGCGACGGGGCCCAGGAGGGGCGCTACGAAACCCAGGAGGGGCGCGACAAGGCCCAGGAGGGGCGCTACGGGGCCTAGGAGGGGCGCGACGGGGCCTGGGAGGGGCGCGACGAGGCCCAGGAGGGGCGCTACAGGGCCCAGGGAGGGCGCGACGGGGCCCAGGAGGGGCGCTACGGGGCCCAGGAGGGGCGCTACGAAGCCCAGGAGGGGCGCGACGGGGCCCAGGAGGGGCGCGACGGGGCCCAGGAGGGGCGCTACGGGGCCCAGGAGGGGCGCGACGGGGCCCAGGAGGGGCGCTACGAAGCCCAGGAGGGGCGCGACGGGGCCTGGGAGGGGCGCGACGGGGCCCAGGAGGGGCGCTACAGGGCCCAGGAAGGGCGCGACGGGGCCCAGGATGGGCGCTACGGGGCTTAGGAGTGGCGCGACGGGGCCCAGGAGGGGCGCTACGGAGCGCAGGAGGGGCGCGACGAGGCCCAGGAGGGGCGCTACAGGGCCTAGGAGGGGCGCGACGGGGCCTGGGAGGGGCGCGACAGGGCCCAGTGAGGGGTGCGACGGGGCCCAGGAGGGGCGCTAGGGGGGTCGCGACGGGGCTAGGGGCTAGAGGGGTGAGCGGAAGCGGTAGGTGGGGGGGGGGGATCCTACCTACGCGTGATACCATAACAAAATTGAGAAGTTGATGATAGATAGAGAGTACACACAGATATACCTAAGTGTTGTACTCTCTAAGAGGCGACCCTATACAGTCTATAAAAACATGACAAATACACATGTTTGACATGTTGTACCTTCTACAGTAGGATTCAGTAATTTTAGCACACCTACCAAGCCTACACACACACATATATATATATATATATATATATATATAATTTGACACACCCCTAGGCTTGGTAGTCGCAAGCCCACCCCACATGCAACACCCCGAAGCCCGTGGACCCCCATGTCCTGCAGTAGGTGTGGCTTCTACCCTTTGTGCAAAGCGGCGACAACGGCGGCGGGTGGCAGCAACGGCGACAGCGGCGGCTTCTACGACGACGACAGCAGCGGCGGCGGTTGCGGCGGCGGCGGTCGCAGCGGCGGCGGTGACGGCGGCGGCTTCGACGACGGCGGCGGCGACTGCGAAGCTCGCGGCACCCGGCGGCGTGGCACGGCCTGGCGACGACCGGGTATGGAGTCATCAGCTGCGGCTGGAATAAGGGGAGACGCCAGGGAGGGGCGTGCTTCAACAAGGCGCCCGTGGCTGGCGCACTGGTTGGCGCGTGGGCGTCATGGCTGGCGCCTAAGACAATGCGTTGGCCGCAGCCATCCGTGCGCTGGCGCGGCGAAGCCACCATGGCAGCACGATTACAAGGCGATACGGCGGCGCAGCGGCACCGTGGCACGGCGGCATGGCGGGACGGCGACAAGGCGAAACAGCGGCACGGTGGAACGGCGGCACGGAGGCACGGCAGCACGGCGAAGCTGCCACAGCAGCATGACAACGCCGCCACGGCGCGGCGTCGACGCCACGGCAGTGCGTCAAGGCCGCCACGGCAGCACAATGGGGCCGCCATGGCAGCACGACATGGCCGCCACGGCGGCGTGAAATCGACGAGGTCGCCGCGGCAGCGCGGCGAGGCCGCCACGGTTGCTCGATGAGGTCGCCGCGGCAGCGCCGTGAGGCCGCCACGGCGGCGCGAATGTGACGGGAAAGGAAAGAGTACGCTGCGGAAGCGTGATGACAAGGCGCAGCATGATCTTCCTGCTTTGAAACCATGTTAGAAAGAGCTAACTAGGTAGCTAGGTATTAGGAATGTCGAGAGGTTTTAGCTAGGGCGAGAGAAAAGAGAGTTGGACTAGAAGAGAGGGATACAAGAAGGGTGTTGAACCCTCTACAGTAAGATTGAGTAATTGTAGCACACCTACCAAGCCTACACAAATATACATATAGGATATATAATTTGACAGTTGGAACTCATTTTTGGTCCTTTCTCAGGCTGGCGGAACTCTTCCACACAGGGGGGATTGGGTCCCCTGGACCGAGCAGGGGACCCGACATTTCCGAGCCCCAGGGGCACCCAAACCACCTCGCGTGGGTTTCGTGGCCCTCCTCGAGCCTCCCTTGCTAGGCTAGCTGTGCTTTTAATTAGCTATGTGCCTCATTTGTTGTACACACTTCAGTCAGCGACAAATGTAATGCGACTTAAAGCGAGTGTCTGAACAGGCACGACCCCCGAGGATCAAAACCTAAGTTGTGATGTGATTTCTACCTCTATCGTATCTATGACCATTGACCACGTCAGCACGTGTCGATGTAGCCAGTGCTCCACATTTCGATGATGGCACCAACCGTCATCTCATGGCTGTCAGATGCCATTGTTCGACCCTCAATCGCCGCCTTTGTACCACCACAGCTCACCGTCGCCCTTCATATGTCCCTACTCCAGGGCTCTAGTTTATCGCCGTATTTCACGGCCGCTCTGACGCTGGCCCAGCGGACACATCAGCAGCTGCACGACGCTGGATCGGCTTTTCAGAGTGTCCCCTTCGATCTGATCATTATTGGCCACGCGCTCGCCACGTCAGCAGCGGTGCGGATCCCGCTGCTGCGACGCCATTGGCTGCTGTGCTTCTGGACGGCGTTCTTCACCGGATATGGCGGAGGCACACTCACGTCCCTCCTCCTGCATGTGCGTCCCGGTGGCTCTAGGTGTTAGAGGGATCGGGATTCAGGGAGCACTGAAGTGTCCTGGCACGCTTAAATGATTCACGGAATGGTCCTCTTGGAGCTCGGACTACAGAGGTTGACCCCTTGGAGGTCACAAGTCGGGATTTGCTTTTGAGGCGGTACAAAGGCGGCGATTGAGGGAAGAGGGAAGAGGACGAGCGTCAGCGGAACAAGTTGGAGTACGAACGGCCATTGCATGCATGCAGCTGCGCGAGTCCGCTACGTGATGGCACTCCTGCTCTGCTCCTCTCTCCTCCCACGGCCCGCTCGGCCCTGCTCCCAGCCGCTCACCATCTCTCGTCTAACCCGGCCTCCCCCCTGCGCTCGCCTCTAATCCGCAGGACCACTTTGTGTGGCTGCGCAACGACTATGTCCTCCTGCTCTTCGCCCTTTGCTGGTACGCTGCTCCCTGTTCCTCTGCTGCTGCTGTCCTCTTCCATGGTGCTGTGGGATTCCCAATCGTGCCTGTTCAGACGCAACGAATACCGCTCTCCGTTCCGTGTCCCCATGCCATAGACATTCCAAGCCGTCCCATGACACAATGCAATGCACCTCGTCCCATGACACAACGCAATGCACCTCGTCCCATGCAGGTGGGTCATCACATACTCGCCCTACGATCTGGGGAATCGCCTCTATTCCTTCACACCCATCAAGGTACAATGCCGGCGACCGAACGTGCAATCGCCTCTATGCCTTGATACGCCTGTAGCTGCTTGCCTCTGCCCGGCCACAGCTTCTATCTCTCACCTCCCTTGCACAGTCTGCTACAGCGTCGCACTCTCTGTGGCTTTTAATTTGCCTCAAAATCCCCTATTATTTCCACTGCCATGTGGATCGCCTGTCTCACCATTCGTCTGGTTCTCGTTGAAGAGTAACTAACAGCAGTTCTTACAAACCTCTTTCTGTGCCTCCATTTCACCCCCCACTTCACCCCCTTTTGACCCCCCACTTCACCCCCATTTGACCCCCCACTTCACCCCCATTTGACCCCCCACTTCACCCCCCCATTTCACCCCCCATTTCACCCCCCATTTCACCCCCCATTTCACCCCCCATTTCACCCCCCATTTCACCCCCCATTTCACCCCCCATTTCACCCCCCATTTCACCCCCCATTTCACCCCCCATTTCACCCCCCTTTTCACCCCCCTTTTCACCCCCCACCCGCCACACATTTCGCTGTGCTCGCATGTCTCGTGCCTCCCCTTCGTTCTTCCCACGCGCCTTTCCCTCTCTGCACCTGTCTGTCATCCCTCTCGCTCTTCGTCCCTCCCGTCAGCTCCTGGCACGGCTGGCAGCAAGCATTGCGCGCACAGGTGTCGTCATCTCCAGGGTAAGCCAGATACTCGCGTCCGGCTCCTGTCGTTTGTTGTTAGTTGCACCTTCCCTCATACTTGTTTCTTTACTCCGCGAGCCTATGTGCGCGCACAGGTGTCGTCTTCTCCAGGGTAATCCGACTGCTCTCTCATTTGCTCCTCTTGACTGCTGTTGCTGCCAGCCATGATACTCGTTTCTTCAAGCACCGATACTCGTTTCTTCAAGCACCGTGCATTCCCAACGCCCGCTCGCACCTCTTGAATCAGCCAATAGCAGCAGCCGTGGTTGCGCTACTATGTCTGCTCTGCGCTATGGTCTTTGCGCGCTCACTTCACCCCGAGCCACGCTGCCCTCCCCTGCTGCCTTGCTCTTGTGTCTGGAGCCGCTTCTCGCATGTGCTGGGCCTCAGCACTGTCCCCTCCCACTCTAATGCTTGCTGCTCCCCTCTCACCTGATGCTTCCTTCTCCCCTCTCGCTTCATTCTCCCACTTCTCACTCCCCCCCACCTTCACTCGCCGCGTTCGTGCCCGCTGATGCAGATTGACGGAGCAGTTCGGCGCTTTGGCAAGCACTCGATAGTAGCACCACTCTTTATTGGAACGCTCGGAGGTACTCTATGGCACTCTAGGGTGACTTTTGAATTGACTCAAATGTAACCTCGGAGGCATTGCAATGCACTCCGTGTCTGGCCACGTGTGGCAGCCAACCCATGTGCTGCCATGTCATGCACCCATGTGCTGTCATGCACCCGTGTGCTGCCATGTCACGCACGCATGTGCTGCCATGCACCACCTGCTACCCCCTTTCTGGCTAATTTCATAGTTTCTTCGGTCTACGCCCACTTCGTTTCCACATGTCTCCTCTCCCTCATATCATCCGGCTGTGGTGTGGTTGGCTGTTGATGAACATCTGGCTTTTCATTCTTCTTTACTTTGTCACCATTTTTTTCTCCCTCCTCACACCTCCCCCACTCTCTGTCTCTCCCCCCTCACACTTCCCCCACTCTTTGTCTCTCCCCCCTCACACCTCCCTCGCTCTGCCACACGTCCCCCCAGGCTGCGGGGGTCGCCTCGTGCTGGACCTCGTTCTCTCCATCCTCGCCCCATCTGCTGCCTCTCGCGCCGAGTTATTGTACCCCTCCTGGTGCGTCCCTGTGTGTCTCTGTGCCTGTCTGTGCCTGCTTGGGGGAGGGATGAGTAGGGGGGGGTTGCTGGCATTTTTTTTTTTTGCTTGGAAAGTAGTTGTTTGTGTTTTTTTTTTGCGCACGCCGCGTATGGAATGTTAAGATGCAAGTGATGAGAAGGAGAGCCATGGTTGGAGGAGAATTGAAGAGAAAAGGCTATCCTTGAGTTTTTAGACAGCTGTCACAACCGTAAGGAAACTCCAGCCGTACTTCAAAGTGCACCCGTGCCATGTTTGTGCCAGGCTCAGTGCACCGAATGAAATGAATCTGTGTGATCATGATTCACTCTTGAGACCCCTCAACCTTCATTATCATCACACGGAGTGTACCCCTGCCATGTTAGCGCCAGGTCTAGTACACTGAATGGAGTGAATCTGAACCTGCAGGGAGACTAGCCCCAAAAGGCGATGAATAATCTACCGAGCCAAAGTTAGCCATTACTCAACATTAAGTCGTGCATGGGCGTAGTCCGTTTTCGGAAACGTTCTCAGGAACAAGTTACTAATCCGTATCTGTGTGCCTTGCTCTGTATGCTTGCCATTGCTCGTACTGTTGGCGCCACTGGGGTGTGTTGCAATGCATTGCATACTGCCGCTGAATACCACCGCATACGCCTCCGTAATTGACCCTCTTCCCGCCTCTTCATGCTCCTCTTCCCGCCTCTTCATTTTCCTCTTCCCGCCTCTTCATGCACCTCTTCCCGCCTCTTCATGCTCCGCTTCCCGCCTCTTCATGCTCCTCTTCCCGCCTCTTCATGCTCCTCTTTCCCGGCTCTCTTGCACAGCCTTCCTCGCGTCTCTCTTCTGCACTCTCGCTCTGCACTGGACCGCCTTTAAGTCGGCTTTGAAGCGCGCGCTGACAGCCCCCCCGCCTTCCCTCCCCTCCAGGCTCTCCCGCTCCGCCTTCCTCATCACTCTCGGCTACTCACTCACCGTGCATTGGACTGCCTGCTGCTCCTCCCAAGCTGCATATGGCGCCATCGCATCCTTCCTGGTAGGCTCTGCTCCAGTCATAGCATCCTTTCTGGTATGCTCGTTCCCTGCCATAAGCCCTGCTGGTATGCCACCGTCCCCTCCTTGCTCTCCTCCTTACCCCGGCCTCTCTGCAACTCTCTCTCCCACCATTGGGCTGTCCCTTTCCTTCCTGCATTCCGTCCTTCCCCCCCTCCTTCGTCCTGTCTCCCTGCTGCACTCTCACGTTGCGTTGGGCTACTGTGCTGCTGTGACTGTGGCACCCCCTTGTGACTGTGACCTCCTCCCTTCATCATCCCCTGCCTTGTTGAGGCGCCGCAAAGGATGTTCCACCTCGTCACTCCATCGTGCTCTTGCCCCTTTGTTCCCCTGCAAGTTGATCGTCTCTTTCCTAACGCCCGCCTCTCTGCCCATATTCACCATTATTCCCATTAGAAAATCCGTTTTCTTCTGTCCTCTCCCCAGTATCTGACTATCTCTCCCGCGCACTCCACTCCAACCCCTTCTTCCCTCACCTCTTCCCTTCTTCCCTCCAACACTCTTCTCGTTCCTCCCTCCCCGCGCCCCCCTGGCAGATGGCGCACAGCACATGGGAGGTCATCTCACGCTCACCTTGGGACCCCACTGTTCCACTCTCCTCCTCCTTCCACTCCCTGCTGTCAGTGCCCGTCCCTTGCCCCTGCCCTCCCTATTTGCCTGGCTCATTCCGCTCCCCTCTTTTGGCGCCTTCACTGATGCCTGTTGGTACTTGAAGCAGCAGTGGGCTGCTTGTTCGTACGTTACTCTCAACATTTCATTGATGCCCTCCTTGCCTCTCTCATTTCATTCTTCCTCTCATTTCATTCTTCCTCTCATTTCATTCTTCCTCTCATTTCATTCTTCCTCTCATTTCATTCTTCCTCTCATTTCATTCTTCCTCTCATTTCATTCTTCCTCTCATTTCATTCTTCCTCTCATTTCATTTACTCACACCTCCCCTCACCCCACTCGTGCATCCTCACTCTTACATCCTCGCCAGTCATCCCTCTCTCCCACTCACCCCTCCTCTCCCTTATCTCTTGTCTCTCACTCATCCCTCCTCTCCCTTTTCTCTTCCTTTTCACTCATCCCTCTCCTATGCTCATCCCTCCTCTCCTCCCCCACTCCAGGTGCATTCCCTTCCCTCCCGCCGCCCTCTCCCCATCACGCCACCACAGTTCTCCCCCTCACTCCAAGCCCCATGCCACTGCCACCAACTCACCATCCTCCTCTCAACCGCCCTCTCACAATCCGGCCACCGGAAGCAGCAGTTTGAGCAGCAGCAGCCAGCGCAGCAGCAGAGAGCAGGATGGCTCCGAAGGCACACACCACCCAGACCTTGCGAATGGGAAGGACAGCACTCGCTCTGGAGCCACCTCCATTCGAGAAAAAGCAGTGAAGCAGAGAAAGCCCAAGAGGGCGTGACACGGATCCTGAGGCTTTGGCTTTGACACATAAAGAAACAGGGCGCTCTGCTGTCAGCCTGCCTCCCCACCTGAATTTGGGGTGAAGCCGCCAAGCACAGAAAGCCCGAGGGCGTGAGTCATGCGTGGTACTTCAACTGAACATGGGAGAGAGCTTAGTCATACGCAAACTTCGGTTCGGATGTACCACACCCTGTGCTCAGTATCCCATGGAAGTCCCGCCCCCCCCCCACCATACCTGATCCGCCGTTGTGATGTGTGTCCCTACACGATGGTGGGTCCTTTTATGAATCAATATGTGATTTCTGAACTTAGTCCTGTGCGAATCTCACAGCATTACACCACATAGCTTTTACAGCACGAAGGCAGGTACATTATTCCCACCCCAGCTCTAATACAGAACCAGGACGGTGTACATTCTTAGAACTGAATGAATAATGGAGTAGTGAGAGAGTACAAGTGAATATACCTAAGTGTTGTACCCTCTAAGAGGTGACCCTATACAGTCTATGCAAACATTAGAGATACACATGTTTGACATACATTGTGTGCCAAGGGAGAGGTCAAGAAATCATAAGGCGTCAACCCCTGGTTGAGGAAGGAAACTGGACCGGGGGTTCGATTCGATGCAGCCTTTGAGACACGTCATGGTGATGCACATTCAGATGCCTTGGGCACAAGCCGGTTTACACAATTTACAGCTCAAGATCTCGCATTTCCAGCTCTCGCCGTGGAAACGGCTAGCGGCTGCTGGAATGACAAGCTTCCTATCCTGCAGGCCTAGTGGTCACCGAAAAAGCGGCGGCCGAGATCGCACGGGCACTCTCTTCTCCATCCTGAGCCGTCGATGTGCCTCGCGGATGTGGGTGGGTCGGATGGGCCCCTCGTCGCCCCTTTCGCCCATGACCAGGCGAGCTGCGGGAGATGGTGAGCGTAGGGGTGGGATAACAGTGCAGAAAGGGGGCTTGGGACTAGGGGTGGGGGGAGGGCCAGGAGGTTGAGGGGCGAAACACAATGCCTGGGTGCATGGAACACAATGCCCAGGTGCATGAAACACAATGCCCAGGTGCATGAAACACAATGCCCAGGTGCGTGGAACACACACACATGCCCTCTTTCCCTCCTCCAGCCCAGAAAGAAAATCACACACAATCCGACCCCACCGCCCTGCCCTCAGCTCACCCGTCTCCACCAGCTCGCCCACCATGAGCTTCGCCACGCCCGCCATCACAATGCCCAGCTGCGGACTCACGGTTGCACCCGCCACACCGTGCACCAGCTGCAGGCAGGGGGCATGGCATGGGAACAAGGGGACAGCCGCGCCTTGAATACGCCCAGCACTCTGCCCAGCTGCGGACCCACTGCTGCGCCCACCACCCTGTGCGCAAGCTTCAGGCGGGGTGGAGTGCGTTAGGGTGCGGTGAAGTGGGGTGGAGTGGGGTGGGAGTCAACAAAGAGGAGCATGGAAGTGAAAGAAGAGGAGAGGAACGGCAGCATGGACGTGAAAGCAAGCGACCTGCGGCAAGGGCAGTGGCCGGACACGAGGAACTGCCCCTACCCGCCGCATGCTGGCCTGCTTGAATCCTGACCGTCGATACGCCTCATAGCGGTTCATCTGCTCCGGCGTGAAGCGGTCCAGCAGCTCCCTGCAGAAGGCAGGGGGGACGTGCGGGTGTGGGTGGGCGGGGGGGGGGGGGGGGGTAAGGGTGTTGACATACCCACAGCACGCTGTTCATTCGGCCAGAGTGCGGAGCTTTGCTGGCATTCATGTGCTCGGGTGTAAAGCGACCCAACACATCGCTGCCCAGCCATGCGGAGGGGATGGAGGGAGGCATGGGGGATGTGGGGTTATGCAAGGGGGTTAGCGGGGGAGCATGGGGAATATAAAGGGGGAGCATGGGGAATATAAAGGGGGAGCATGGGGAATATAAGGGGGTGGGCGTGGGGAATACAAGGGGGGGGGCATGGGGAATGTAAGGGGGGAGGGATGGGGAATATAGGGCGGGGGGGGGCTGGGGGCGGGCATGGGGAATATAAGGGGCATGGGGGGGGCATGGGGAATATGGTGGGGGGCGGGGCATGGGGGAAGCAACCATGAATGGCGTAAATGTCACGACACGCAGGCAGAGGGTGCATGTGAGGCGCATGTGAGGGCGCACATGCGGCCACGTAAACGCTCTCTCTGACGTCACATACGTACTGTATGACAGCATCCAACTATCGGCTCTAAATGTAATGTTTAGCTAAACACCATAGGCACTCACTGCATGGCGGCGGGACTCATAGCCGGCACTCTCGTCAGGTCGAGATCCAGCCCCACCTGCTCCTCCTCCTCCTCCTCCCGCCCCATCCCCCCACCCGCTTCCCCTCCCGCCCCGCCTCCCCCTTGCTCCCCCGCACCTCCCCCGCCGCCCCCTCCCTCTCCGCCTCCCCCTTGATCCTCGCCTTCTGCTCCGCCCCCTGGTTCCGCGGAATCTCCGCCAGGAACCTCCGCAACAGTCGGTAGGCGGACCTCCCTTCCCCCAGTTCTATGTTCCGCCTCCCCTCCGTCCCCCCCCCGATCCTCGTCCGCAAAACCCACTGCTTTCCCCTTGCCCTTCCCCCGGGGGTCCTTTTCTCCCTTCTCGCCCCCTTTTCCGCCTTTCAGCGCGGATTTTAGATAAGGCGCGGAGCCCGGGGGCCTTCCGCTTGCGGGCTCGCGCGGAGATTCCGCGCTGTGGAAGAATAGTCGGCTAGAATCGTCCGCGTTATTGTCTAATTCTGCGTTAACCTCATGGTCTGCTTTGGGCTTGGTCTTGCTGATTTGCGAGAGCTTTCGCTTCATCCCCGCATGGAGATCCATGGCCGCAGGTAAATGGTTAGTCCGTCCCACTCGGAATGGTGCTCGCGACAGGGAATTAAACCTTGAGGAGCTAAAGGCGGGTCGTGGGTTTGATAGCGGTTGGGTAGGGTATTAGGGCAAAAACCTACTCTAAGACACGCCCACAGGGGGTGTGATGTCTCGCTCCACAACCTGATGTCGGGAACTCTTCTTTGGACATCCGAAAACCAGCGCGCTGACTATTACATTCTGGTAACCTGCTTTGCCACTCAGTAGCAACCCTTTGAGCTAGACTTCCTCTTATTTTGCTCAATACAGTACTCAAGCATACGAAAATGGTTGAGGTAAGGGCCAGTACACCCGACCAGTGCCTCCAGAAGGGACGACCTAAGGCCCTCGAATATCCGTTGAACCTAAAAAACACGCCCTAATCACCCAGCTCTTGTGCCTCGAGCACACTTACATACGCCAGGCGGTCTCCAGGTGCACGATGGCACTAGGTTAAAGGTTCAAAATTGTTTCGATTGCAGTCGTGAGAGGAAAGCAGAGTGAGGTTGTCATTTGGAGCACTGAAATAAGTGCTCCCATCATGGACTTGAGCTTTGCAGGATACCATGAGCTGTCTAAACGCTACCTCAAATTCCATCCGTTACCGGACTGGAACAGAAAAGTTCGGCTTGGCATAAAGCCCAAACGGACGGGGCGGGCAAGTCATCGCAAAACGATGTACCGAGGCGAACCGACCAGACCAAGCCAGATGGTTTGTGGAAGATTCTTGATGTTCGACAGGTTTTCGCACCACCAATCGCCATCCACCCCAAGTCACAATGGAACCAATGACATGCTGCCCAGACCTGATCACATGGTGGCTTGTTAGGGGGTGTGTAATGTGGGATCGGAGGCTCCGCTCCGTTCCCAAACTCCATTTTTTTATGCCCGCCTGAAATTGTAGACCAGTCGGATGCACGAAATCTGCATGTAAAAAAGTGTGGATTCGCGCAAAACTTGTTGCGCAAACACCTTCACTCACGCTGGAAAACATTTGACCGCTCGTTGTGCATGTACCAGAACAATTCTGCACGATAAACGCAAACGCATTTCGCCAATCTCAACGAAACTGCGAAGTGGCCAGCTCGGCCAGCAAGGAATGTATGTGCCTCACGCAGGCGAATTTTGCCAGAAATTGCAGTCGCCAGTTACGAGTTCGAACTTCAAATTTGAAAGTTCCAGCTGCATGGGTTTCGTGCGGGCGGTGTAGTCTCCAACTTTTCGTTGCTTCTGGAAACAAACTGAACGGGCAGAAATAATCTGAGTTTGGGAACGGAGCGGAGCCTCTGTTCCTACTTTACACACCCCCTTAACTTTCTGGGCTGCTCAAACCTGACCTGTATCAGCCTCGACGTAACTGTTGATTGGCCGGACACGAACCTGAAAACCTGCCGTTGAGGTCTGGCCATCTGGCAAGATGGTTCATCCACAGTCCTCCCAAACCAGCATTTTGCTTTCCACCTAGTCCTGACGTGCGTCAGGCGTGCACGCATGTGAGGTCTGTTTGGAACCTGGCGTCAACGATTTGCAGCGCACCTGACGCGGGCACGAGAACTTTCGGTTTGGCTGGAATTCAAGAGCCTGGCTGCCATCCATCTTTCTTCGTTCAGGCTACTGTAGCAAGGACCTTTTTTGGCCCGTGTAACGGGAACGTTTCGTCAGTCTGAAATTTTCGTTGTGCAGCAGCTCGGCGTGAAAGGAGCTCATCTGGTTGGGTCCGCCTGGTGTAGTCGGCGCATGGAATCGCGCGCTTCGACGAAAATCAATAATGTTTTGAAGCGGTCGACCCTTTTTGCGCGCGATGTGTGGCATACCTCCGTTACCCAAAACGGTCGACCCCCCCAACTGTACCCGTTTTCGTGTTGGGTTCAGATGCCACTATGTTTTTTCGGGGCAACTGGTCTGGGCAGCATGTGTAGGGTCCAAGACGGGGTGATACGACAAACAATGACGGCACATTAAGGGCTGGGGCATTCGAAAAAGACACGCGCAATCATTTTGGGCACAACGTCCGGGTTTTTTTCGCTGAACTCGGATTCCGACGGGGAGCTTTTCCAAAAACAGGGTTTGAACCCGGATTCTGACGGGTGAATTTTGACAGAACTGGCTGTGAAACCCGGTTTTGACGGGTGATTCTTGACAGAACAGAGTGCTGAACACGGATTCTGACGGGTAGCTTTGGTCAGAGACCCGGATCTGACGGGTGCCCCAAAAACCAGACGTAAGCCCCGGCACTTTCGATTTTTGTCAGGTTTCAAATGCATGTTCACGTAACAGCCGAGGGCCTGTTTTTAGTAGGTATTATCCCGATAGTGTCAACCGAGAAATGCTGGAAACCCATCTCAACCGTTATTTCAAAACATCAACGGTTGGGATGACTTTTTAACATTCTCGGATGACACTTTTTTGGTATGACACCTTTCAAAAACAATCCCTGAGTTAGGATCCGGCAAATGTTTTCACAGCGACCCAAAATTCTGCACATCAAAGCGAAAACGGTCACAGTCGGGGGGGGTCGACCGTTTTGGGTAACGGGGGCATGCCGTGCATCGCGCGGAAAAAGGGTCGACTATCTCAAACCATTCTTGATTTTCGTCAAATTGCGCGATCTCCTCCGGCGCAAGCAACGGCATGGGGAGTCGCGCGATGTCTGTTGAAGCAGCGGCACGCCTTGCAATCAGGAGGATTTCGGGTTGAGGGGCGCTGCAGTTTCAGCAGCTCCCCTAAATATTCTCCCAACGAGCCGAGGTTGGTTGCACTTGCAGCTGAGCCGGAAATACAGCCGACGAGGAAAGGATCGCACGACGCCTTCCCTACTATCCAGTGTGGTTTTTAACTCATCGTGCGCAGCTCCGAGTCGGCACAGGACAGGGTAACTAACAGACATGACAGCGGCAACCACCAGATCGCCGGTAGGGAGCGGCACGTCTGCGTTTTCGCGCGCATCCGCGGCATGGGATAGTCGTTTAAAGACCGTCGTGTACATCCTCGCGGCCGGCAGCATCGCCTTAGCGCTCTGGTTCGCGACGGTGGAAGCTGCCACGCTGCTCCTGCATCCCGGAAACTACGCCTCCCGATACTTCGGGATTCGCATGCTTCCCTTCACGCGGGAATCGCGGCGGAGTCGCGCGGGAAGCGGGGTAGAAACTGCGGGCGCCGACTGGCGGCCGATTGCAGACCGACACGTGGCGGAGAAGGCAGTAACGATGTCGGTGCTGTCCTTACCGCATAATCCGCTCACGAACCGCAGGAGAACCGCCAAGCTAGCTCTGTTGTTTGTAACGGATCAAGGCCGCTTGCCTCTAAAGCGCGTATGGGAGCGATTCTTTCAGGCGGAGCTAAAGGGTCCTGTAGAGCTTGAACACGACAACAGCAAATTCTCCGTCTACGTGCACTCTGGCGGCAACGAGATGCGCTATAACGCGGATGAAGGGCGGTTCTTTCAAAGGAACGACATTCCCAGCCTCCCGGTGAGTGTGGGGGACTGGAGTAGGGTCGCCGCACACCTCGCCGCACACCTCGCAGACACACGGGTGCAGAGAGAGCTCCTTTCTTTGGGCCCTCTTCTCGCCTCCCTTCCTCTTCGTTGCCCCATCTCTCCCCACCCCCTGGCGCGAGAGGGCATGATCATCATGGCGGACGCGGAGAGTCGCGTCCTCCTGGCCTGTTGCGTCCTCGTCTGTCCCACCTTACCTCCACCCCCTCCCACCTCCATCTCTTCCTGCCACACGCGCACGAGGGCGGCATCACGACGCGCAGAGGCGCCGCCTCGCGTGGACGGTGATCCCTCGTCGCCTTCCATTGCCCCGCCGCCCAGGCGCACGAGGGGACCAGCGCCATATGCATGGTGCACGAACAGCGGCGCCTGCTCGCGAGAGGCCTCCTCTCTCTCCCGCCCTCCCTTCCATTGCCCCAGCATTCCCCATCTCCCTACCGCTCCATCTCGCCACCCGCCTGTCTCCCAGGCGCGCGAGGGGACGATCTCCATGGTGGACGTGCAGCGCCGCCTGCTCGCGTGGGCTCTGAGCCCTTGTTCCCCGCCCGTTCCGCTGCCCCATCACCGCCATCTCCGCATCACCGCCATCTCCGCATATCCTCCTCTCTCCCCGTCTCCCAGGCGCACGAGGGCACGATCTCCATGGTGGACGCGCAGCGCCGCCTGCTCGCGTGGGCGCTACTGGACCCCGACAACCACTTCTTCCTCTTCCTCGACCACAGGTGCCGCCCTCCTCGCACACCGCGTCCTCCTCTCTCGATACTCTCGTCAACTCGCACGCACGCGCTCCTTGTCGTCTTCGCTTGGTCGCCTCCCTCCCTGCCTTCCGCGTTTCTCTAACTCGCATCGCCAGCGGCTTCCAGGAATACGAGCCATCCAGCCATCCAGCCATCCAGCCATCCAGCCATCCAGCCATCCAGCCATCCAGCCATCCAGCCATCCAGCGCTTTTCAAGTCCGGTGCCAGCATGACTGCATGATCGCAAGCACTCAGCCTGCTCCGCTCCTCCCTCCCTCTGCCCCCGTGTCCCACATCCCTCTGCCCCGCGCAGCTGCATCCCCATCCGCGGCTTCGCGCACATCTACTCCTCGCTGCTGCACTCGCGCCACTCCTTCGTCGCCATGTGAGCCTCCTAACGCGCTTTCTCGTAACGCGCTTGCTCGTAACGCCCGGTGTGGCTCTCTGCCGTGCAGTGTGTCTCCTGCTCACTGTCAATTGGCTGCCAGCCCGTCTCTCCCCAGTTCCTCCCTCACCCCTCTCGCCCCCTATGTCGCGTTGGCACATGTCAACGCAGTCAACGCAGTCAACGCGTCGTTTCCATCCTCGTTCTTCCCGCACCTCCTCCAATTCCCCTTCCCATCCTTCCCTACCCTCTTTTCAGGGCGGACGATCCCAGCGCCTATCCGCCCGAGCTCGCTCCTCTCGTTCCGCCGCACAAGTTCGCTAGAAGCTCCAAGGTATTGCGCTGCTGGTGTGGTGGGAGTGGTTGCACGGCCTTCCTGTGGGGGCATTGCTCGTTCTTGTCTCCCTCTCGTGGTCTCCCTCTCGTGGTCTCCCTGTCGTGGTCTCCCTGTCGTGGTCTACCTGTCGTGGTCTACCTGTCGTGGTCTACCTGTCGTGGTCTACCTGTCGTGGTCTACCTGTCGTGGTCTACCTGTCGTGGTCTCCCTGTCGTGGTCTACCTGTCGTGGTCTACCTGTCGTGGTCTCCCTGTCGTGATCTCCCTGTCGTGGGAGGCACAGCAGTCGTGAGCCAGGAGAGGACTGCTTGACGAGCGCAGCATCGGCTGTTTCCCTTCATCCTGCCTCTTTGTGCCGCCTACCATGATGCCCTTCATGCTTCCCCTGATGCCCCTCTTGCTGCCCGTCATGTCCCTTGCCCATTTCTGTGTACCTCAGTGGGTGGCTGTGAACCGGCCGCATGCCACAGCCATCGTGGCCGACAATATGTTCTACCGTGCCTTCAAGCACCACTGCAAGGTAAGGTGGTCCCTCACGTGCTTTTTCGAGTTGATCGTCACATAATGATTGGTGGAGGCACCATTCGCAGGGGGTGCCATCATCATCATTGTCTTTCACTTCCTGGCAGCCCTCATTCCCCCGTCTCAATAGCAACTCGGACCTCCTGCCTCTCGCCTCCCGTCCCCTTGCTCCCCTACCCCCCTGCGCCTCCCCATGACCATGCAGGGCGCGCCAGCAGCATCTAGTGAGAGCGACAGAGGGGCCGCCTCCAGTGCCCTAGCATCGCACGCACACCTGCCCGCCTGCCAGCCTGATGAGCACTACATCGCCACTTTCCTTCGAGTGCGTTCTGCCTCCCTCTCTCCGCTTTCTCCCTCTCTTCACCTTCTCCCTCTCTTTCTTCCCTTTCCATGTTCCACGTTCGACCCTGATTCCGTCCAGCGAAGCTATGGTGGTGCTGTAGTGCGGCAATGCACTGTTGAACAAAAGTCCTCTAGCTGCTGATTTAGCTAGGGGAATGGTTTGCTGGCTGGGTTTGAGTGGTGCGGGATTTACATGTGGAGGGTGGTTTCAGTGTGAGCCCAGCCGCATGGCGGCTGCTGTGGGATGATTGGGGAGAGGCGGCAGGGAGGCAGCTTGTCCAAGTCTCCCCTTCTCCCGCTCCCCCCCTTGCAGACAGTAGACCCAGACGACGTGGCCAACATCACCATCCTCCTGCATGAGAGCCACATGGCCGCTGTTGTCCTCTCTCACCTCGCAGTCAGTGGACCTGGACGGAGTGGTTAGCTTCACCATCACTGTCACAAAGGAGAGCCACAAGGGCTCTGCTGCTGGCATGCATGGGAAGTAAGGTTGAAAAGACTGCTGGCTTATCCATCCCCCCTCCCATCCCTTTTCTCTCTCTCCAAATGCAGACAGTGGACCCGGATGGAGTGGCCAACTTCACCATCACGCACGAGAGCCACATGGGCGCTGCCGCTGCCATGCACGAGGAGATGCGGCGAGAGGCGCAGCAGCGAGCACGCATGAGACGGCGGCAGCAGCGGCGGGAGGAGGGCGAGACGAGGGGAGGTGGAGGGAAGGAGGGGCAGGGAGGTGAGGACGGGACATGGCAGTTGCGGCGGCAGTTGCAGCAGGAGATGCAGCAAGGGGAGGTGGTGTACGGTGCTGTGAACATTACGTCAAGATTTATCATGGAGATACAGGTGAGCTGATGGGTGCATGCCTGGCTGATGTGTGTCATGAGATGTTTCATGGACAGGCAGGGGGGATGGGGTGGGGGAATGCTGCTGGTGTGTTGAGTAAGGGGATAGCCAGTTCACAAGCCACCATCTTTCAACCAAGCAGCTGTCTGTCTTGATGCCTGTTTCGTTCATTTCTTCTGGTTTCATTCACCCGTATGCCGCTTTTCTTTCAGGATGCGACAGCCTATTTCCATCAAACTGCGCGTCTCTCTACTGTAAGAGTTCACCCAAATGTACCTTTGCAACCTGCATTTGGCCTGTTCAGCAGTTTGCCTCTAGAATTGCTTTGTTGGCTCGCATCTGATCTGCAACTTTGTCAGGTGTTTGTGTTTGCAGATAGAACATTTAATTCCTGTGTCATGCTTTTAACTGTTGTCAAACCCAATGTTCCCCTGTCATTTTGCAGAGCCCGACAGCCTGTAGATGGAATGGGCAACTCAAGCCATGCTTCATGTTTGCCCGACCCTTTCGTCCAGATGCCGTTGATGAGATCATGAGCATTTTACCTAATGTCCTCAATTATTGAGGTGTAAGCACAGGTTCAGCAAGATCTGTTGTCTTAGTTGTCCCTTTAGTGGACCCTAGAATGTTTAAGCTGAAATATGCCTGAAATGCTATGCCATAACCAAGCGCTTATGTCATGCAACTATGACATGCATAGGCTTCAGTTCATTTCAAACCCTTGGAGCACCTAAGAAGATTCACCATATGGATGAACATGTATGAAACATAGATTTATCTTGGTTACTCTACATACAATAAATAGACGTACAACAGAATGATGTACCACAAATCTACTGAATGCTGATGTTCTTGACAACAATTGTGTAGGGGGCATTTGTAGGGTCGCTGTTGACTCCAGCCCAAGAACCACCATTGATGAAAGAAGCGTTCCATATGCTGGAGTATAAATAGACGTTCATAGAAGGAAAGGAATCGCTCGTTGATTTCAGCACGGTCCTCACGAGTTCGCCATCAATGAACCATCTGCAGAAGAAATCCGTCAGACGAGTTCAGAGAAATGAACAACCAAAACGGGCATCTGCTTACTGAATCTTGTCATCGTCGTATGTAACGGAGTACGAGTGGAAATTTTTGCTTGCATCGAATCCGAGGTCAATGAGCACCTCGTGTCCACCAACTCTGTCAACAGACGATCATTTGTCGTCGATGCTTGTGTAAGGGAAGAAGGTACTTGAAGATGAAAGAGAAATCTTACCCATTGACATAGTAGTTTGTCTGAACCTGCATGTTGTTCTTGCCAAGCCATTCAAAGTCGATCTCGTCTTGCGTTGTGCTTCCTTCGAGCGAGGACAAGTAAAAAGATGACACAATGCCACTCGTTTCACCACTTGGAATCATGACGTCTCCTGAAAACGTTGTTCCTGTCCCATAACGGGATGAAGATCGCACACGAGCAGCTGCCACGCATCCCAATCACAGTCGTTAACTAACCAATAGTCAGTGATCCAAGAGTACGAAGGAGCATCTCGTACTTCCTGAATTGTCTTCAAAGATGTGAAATCCACGACCATCTGCATCAATGGACGCATGGTCCTCGACCCCAGCATCGAACACCATGGAAGGTCCTGAGTTTACGACGCGGCTCATTGGTGTTAGCTTGACATTCTTGTGGCTCTTGATCTTGTGGCTTCGTTTTGCCGAGACCCTGTTATATGAATGTTAGACCAGAGCAGAGGCCTGCGACACGCAAGAACAAAGCTCGTGACATTACCCTGGAGTGCTCAGGGAAATAAGAAGGCAAACTAGAATCGCCACGCTGAAAATGGAGCAGCCGAACTTGAGGGCCATTGTGGTAGATGTGATTCAAGTCCAGAGGCTTGAAGGCTCAGGTGGAAATTGCGGTCGAGGATGCCTGAAAAAAACCTAGCAGTATTTGTAGCTCCTTGCTTGGACTTCCGCACCGCGACTTCGCCCTTACAAGGTGGATCGATAACGGTGTAGCGTGGTCCCAAGACGTCTGGGTTTCAATTCTTAGTTTCCGAAACTCAACCAAAATGAACAGGGTTACCCTCTTTGTGCTGCGATTACCAGCGACCCCCTCAGCGTGTCTCTGATTGGCCGAACAACCCGAACACCGAAAGCCAGCGACCCACACACTTCCAACCCGTCGCACACCCAACCTCAGTCCAAAACCTTCCATGCATTCCGTGCAACGCCTCTCGCCTAGCATCAAACACGCAACCTACATCCATAGCACAGCATAAGGACCACGCCTAGCGAAGAAACTACGGGCGTGCGGAGCGCGGGAGCGCGCAAATAGAGAAAGAAGGCGCCGATGTGCAAGGTTCGAGAGGCGCGCCGGGCCGTAAAGGTCTCCCGCGCCTAATTCGCCCCGCGAACCCTTCGCACGATCCGTTGACCTCTTCGCACCCCGATTCCGCCTCGTCATGCGCTCTACTATTCCATCCCGTCATCCATTGTCATACTCCCTTTCGCCTTCCGCACTCCTATTCCGCCCCGCTGTTTGCACTCCTTTACCCGCAAACCTCTCCGCTGCGAGGAGAGACAGAGAGATAGGGAGGAGAGAGAGGAGAGACACAGCGTGTAAGGGAGGAGCGAGGAGAGACAGAGCGAGGAGAGACAGAGAGATAGGGTGGAGAGAGAGGAGAGACACAGCGTGTAAGGGAGGAGCGAGGAGAGACAGTGAGATAGGGAGGAGTGAGAGAAGAGGCACAGCGTGTAAGGGAGGAGCGAGGAGAGACAGAGAGATAGGGAGGAGAGAGAGAAGAGACACAGCGTGTAAGGGAGGAGCGAGGAGAGACAGAGAGATAGGGAGGAGTGAGAGAAGAGGCACAGCGTGTAAGGGAGGAGCGAGGAGAGACAGAGAGATAGGGAGGAGAGAGAGGAGAGACACAGCGTGTAAGGGAGGAGCGAGGAGAGACAGAGAGATAGGGAGGAGAGAGAGAAGAGACACAGCGTGTAAGGGAGGAGCGAGGAGAGACAGAGAGATAGGGAGGAGTGAGAGAAGAGGCACAGCGTGTAAGGGAGGAGCGAGGAGAGACAGAGAGATAGGGAGGAGAGAGAGGAGAGACACAGCGTGTAAGGGAGGAGCGAGGAGAGACAGAGAGATAGGGAGGAGAGAGAGAGGAGAGACACAGCGTGTATGGGAGGAGCGAGGAGAGACAGAGAGATAGGGAGGAGAGAGAGGAGAGACACAGCGTGTAAGGGAGGAGCGAGGAGAGACAGAGAGATAGGGAGGAGAGAGAGGAGAGGCACAGCGTGTAAGGGAGGAGCGAGGAGAGACAGAGAGATCGGGAGGAGAGAGAGGAGAGACACATCGTGTAAGGGAGGAGAGAGGAGAGACAGAGAGATCGGGAGGAGAAAGAGGAGAGACTCAGCGTGTAAGGGAGGAGCGAGGAGAGACAGAGAGATAGGGAGGAGAGAGAGGAGAGACACAGCGTGTAAGGGAGGAGCGAGGAGAGACAGAGAGATAGGGAGGAAAGAGAGGAGAGACACAGCGTGTAAGGGAGGAGCGAGGAGAGACAGAGAGATAGGGAGGAGAGAGAGGAGAGACACAGCGTGTAAGGGAGGAGCGAGGAGAGACAGAGAGATAGGGAGGAGAGAGAGGAGAGACACAGCGTGTAAGCGAGGAGCGAGGAGAGACAGAGAGATAGGGAGGAAAGAGAGGAGAGACACAGCGTGTAAGGGAGGAGCGAGGAGAGACAGAGAGATAGGGAGGAGTGAGAGAAGAGGCACAGCGTGTAAGGGAGGAGCGAGGAGAGACAGAGAGATAGGGAGGAGAGAGAGGAGAGACACAGCGTGTAAGGGAGGAGCGAGGAGAGACAGAGAGATAGGGAGGAAAGAGAGAGGAGAGACACAGCGTGTATGGGAGGAGCAAGGAGAGACAGAGAGATAGGGAGGAGAGAGAGGAGAGACACAGCGTGTAAGGGAGGAGCGAGGAGAGACAGAGAGATCGGGAGGAGAGAGAGGAGAGACACAGCGTGTAAGGGAGGAGCGAGGAGAGACAGAGAGATAGGGAGGAGAGAGAGGAGAGACACAGCGTGTAAGGGAGGAGCGAGGAGAGACAGAGAGATAGGGAGGAGAGAGAGGAGAGAAACAGCGTGTAAGGGAGGAGCGAGGAGAGACAGAGAGATAGGGAGGTGAGAGAGGAGAGACACAGCGTGTAAGGGAGGAGCGAGGAGAGACAGAGAGATAGGGAGGAGAGAAGGAGGGACAGTGATAGGGGGGAGAGAGAGGAGAGAGAGAGAAAAAGGGAGGAGAGAGAGAGAAAAAGGGAGGAGAGAGAGAGAAAAAGGGAGGAGAGAGAGAGAAAAAGGGAGGAGAGAGGGAAAAAAAGGGAGGAGAGAGAGAGAAAAAGGGAGGAGAGAGAGTTCAAAAGGGAGGAGAGAGGAGAGACACAGCGTGTAAGGGAGGAGCGAGGAGAGACAGAGAGATAGGGAGGAGAGAGAGGAGAGACACAGCGTGTAAGGGAGGAGCGAGGAGAGACAGAGAGATAGGGAGGTGAGAGAGGAGAGACACAGCGTGTAAGGGAGGAGCGAGGAGAGACAGAGATCGGGAGGAGAGAGAGGAGAGACACAGCGTGTAAGGGAGGAGCGAGGAGAGACAGAGAGATAGGGAGGAGAGAGAGGAGAGACACAATGTGTAAGGGAGGTGCGAGGAGAGACAGAGAGTTTGGGAGGAGAGAGAGGAGAGACACAATGTGTAAGCAAGGTGCGAGGAGAGACAGAGAGATAGGGAGGAGAGAGAGGAGAGACACAATGTGTAAGGGAGGTGCAAGGAGAGACAGAGAGATCGGGAGGAGAGAGAGGAGAGATACAGCGTGTAAGGGAGGAGCGAGGAGAGACAGAGAGATAGGGAGGAGAGAGAGGAGAGACACAGCGTGTAAGGGAGGAGCGAGGAGAGATAGAGAGATAGGGAGGAGAGAGAGGAGAGACACAGCGTGTAAGGGAGGAGCGAGGAGAGACAGAGAGGTAGGGAGGAGAGAGAGGAGAGATACAGCGAGTAAGGGAGTAGCGAGGAGAGACAGAGAGATAGGGAGGAGAGAGAGGAGAGAGACAGCGCGTAAGGGAGGAGCGAGGAGAGACAGAGAGATAGGGAGGAGAGAGGGGAGAGACACAGCGTGTAAGGGAGGAGCGAGGAGAGACAGAGAGATAGGGAGGAGAGAGAGGAGAGACACAGCGTGTAAGGGAGGAGCGAGGAGAGACAGAGAGATAGGGAGGTGAGAGAGGAGAGACACAGCGTGTAAGGGAGGAGCGAGGAGAGACAGAGATCGGGAGGAGAGAGAGGAGAGACACAGCGTGTAAGGGAGGAGCGAGGAGAGACAGAGAGATAGGGAGGAGAGAGAGGAGAGACACAATGTGTAAGGGAGGTGCGAGGAGAGACAGAGAGTTTGGGAGGAGAGAGAGGAGAGACACAATGTGTAAGCAAGGTGCGAGGAGAGACAGAGAGATAGGGAGGAGAGAGAGGAGAGACACAATGTGTAAGGGAGGTGCAAGGAGAGACAGAGAGATCGGGAGGAGAGAGAGGAGAGATACAGCGTGTAAGGGAGGAGCGAGGAGAGACAGAGAGATAGGGAGGAGAGAGAGGAGAGACACAGCGTGTAAGGGAGGAGCGAGGAGAGATAGAGAGATAGGGAGGAGAGAGAGGAGAGACACAGCGTGTAAGGGAGGAGCGAGGAGAGACAGAGAGGTAGGGAGGAGAGAGAGGAGAGATACAGCGAGTAAGGGAGTAGCGAGGAGAGACAGAGAGATAGGGAGGAGAGAGAGGAGAGAGACAGCGCGTAAGGGAGGAGCGAGGAGAGACAGAGAGATAGGGAGGAGAGAGGGGAGAGACACAGCGTGTAAGGGAGGAGCGAGGAGAGACAGAGAGATAGGGAGGAGAGAGAGGAGAGACACAGCGTGTAAGGGAGGAGCGAGGAGAGACAGAGAGATAGGGAGGTGAGAGAGGAGAGACACAGCGTGTAAGGGAGGAGCGAGGAGAGACAGAGAGATAGGGAGGAGAGAAGGAGGGACAGAGTGATAGGGGGGAGAGAGAGGAGAGAGAGAAAAAGGGAGGAGAGAGAGAGAAAAGGGGAAGAGAGAGAGAAAAGGGAGGAGAGAGAGAGAAAAAGGGAGGAGAGAGAGAGAAAAGGGAGGAGGGAGAGAGATAAAGGGAGGAGAGAGAGAAAAAGGGAGGAGAGAGAGAGAGAAAACGGGAGGAGAGAGAGAGAAAAAGGGGAGAGAGAGAGAAAAATGGAGGAGAGAGAGAAAAAGGGAGGAGAGAGAGAAAAAGGGAGGAGAGAGAGAGAAAAAGGGAGGAGAGAGAGTTAAAAAGGGAGGAGAGAGAGAGAGAAAAAGGGAGGAGAGAGAGAGAAAAAGGGAGGAGAGAGAGAGAAAAAGGGAGGAGAGAGAGAGAAAAAGGGAGGAGAGAGAGAGAAAAAGGGAGGAGAGAGAGAGAATAAGGGAGGAGAGAGAGAGAGAATAAGGGAGGAGAGAGAGAGAAAAAGGGAGGAGAGAGAGAGAAAAAGGGAGGAGAGAGAGAGGGGACAGAGAGATACGGAGGAGAGAGGAGGGATAGAGGATAGAGGAGAGGGCGAAGTTAGAGGGGGGATAAGGAGGGGCGAGCAGGAGCGCAGAGGGGAAGAAACGGGAGAGAGGGAGGTGGGGAAAGGAGCTATGTGAGGTTCGAACGGGGTAGAGAGGCGGATTGGGGCCACAAAGGGCACAAAAAGGGGTGGAGGGGGGTGGGGGGAAGTGTTGATAAGAGACTTCGGCAGAAGGATATGTGGATTGGAGCCTCTGGAGGCATCGAAGAGGGAGAGTGAGGGGGGGGAGGTAGCAACAAGAGGCATTATATGGAGGAACGAAATGAGTGCAGATGTAGAAATGGGAGGCACTTTAGGTGTCCAACAGTGCACCACTAGGTCCGTCTGCCTCATTCTCTTCCCTGCTCTCTGCAATTATCGTTGCCTGCTGAATGTGGCCATGGGTGCATGGGTTCGTGCATGCATGGCATGATGCATTGGCTCATGGGCGTATGGCATGATGCATGGGTATGTGGGTTCATGGGCGTATGGCATGATGCATGGGTATGTGGGTTCATAGGCGTATGGCATGATGCATGGGTATGTGGGTTCATGGGCGTATGACATGATGCATGGGTATGTGGGTTCATGGGCGTATGGCATGATGACTGTGTGCAGGAGTTGTTGAGGCGACCGAACGTGCTGCTGGCAGTCAATGCTCTAATGGATGCCTGGTCACATGCAGCTATGCACTGCCGTGCATGCCACCATGATGCATCAATACACTATCCAGGCACATGAGTAGTCTAGTCTGGCCTGGTCATTGCAGCTCTCATCTCAAGATGTGCGGCGCAGCAGATTCCTACATGGCATGAATGAATTTCACTCCGTCGCTCATTTTGAGATCCGCTAGTGGTTGTTTCAGTAATCATAAATGTAGTACCACATTTGGTACATGCCAACAATCACGCGCACTACCCATACAATTTACAATTAGCTGCAGCTGCTACTTATGCGGCTGTAGGTGGTAAAAGCATATGTCGGCAGATATGGTTTGTACACTGTTGTGGTATGATATGGTATGTATTCACGCACACAGACACAGACACAGACACACAGACACACACACACACACACACACATGCACACACACACACACTCACACACACACACACACACACACTCACACACACACACACACACACACACACACACTCGCTCCACTGAAGTATGGGAATTGAAATTGAATATTCACAATAAACACAGCACACCAGCCACCAATCACCACCCACACGCCCGTCACACCACCATTCCCTTTCTAATCACCCCTTCCTCCACTTCCTCCCCAGTCACCCTCTTCCTCCTCTTCCCTCGCCTCTTCCCCCCCACCACCCCCGTGGCCATGACTTCCTTCAGCAGCTGCGCCCAGTTCTGCACCTCACTGCCCGTGAAACCCATGGACACGCGCACCTGCCTGGGGGATACCCCCCCCGCCTGCCGCTGCTCCGCACGCATCTCACTGCTCGTGCTCGCGCCACTGCAGGAGACTAGGGAGTCATGGAAACCGCGAGACATGAGAGTTGTGCGACCTTGGGCTTCCAGCGACACATGGGAGAGCTTGGAATAAGACACTGAGGGAGTGTGAGGAGAAGAATGGAGTGAGAGCAACCCATCTGCATTTGAAGTAAGCATTGTTCTGCAGATGCCACTATCTCGCTCCCCCTTTTTCTCTCTCCCTCCCTCCCTCTCGCCCTCCCTCCCTCCTTCCCTCCCTCCTCCCCTCCCTCCAATTGTCCTTTGTATTAGTTAGCAAGGAGTACAGGCGTGACAGGTAAGTCATTGGGACACTACAAGGCAAAACAGAGCAAACACACCGACCAGCCCGAGCTGGGTTCCCCAGCACCGGCTCTAGGACTTGCAGAAGGTCGCCCATGGGGAGGGGCTCCGCTGGGCCGCGCAGGGGGATCTCCTCCACCGCCTGGGCGTGGTTGATCTTGGTGTTCAGCGCAACCGCCTGCCCGTGCTGCAAGGTAACCGACCATTGCTGGCGATACTCATGGAAGAGCTTGCTGGAGGAACTTGAAGACACCGGGGAGGTAAGGCCGTATGTATCAGCCACCATGGCGAAGAAGCCAACCCATTATGGGCGGGCGGGCAGCCGATACTTGTTCTCTTTCTGGCGAGCTGCGATCCTGAAGGGCCAACCATTGCCGCGACATGCAGACTCGTCGTCCTTGGAGACGGGGTCCATCACAGTAATATCGCAGAGCCGTGTCGCCCTCGAGTTGGGGTGGCGGATGTCGACATCAGCCCAAAGGAAGGAAACTCAGGTAAACAAGTTGGTCTCCTTGAGGGTAATGAAGTCGGCATCGATGGCGATCCTGGCGCGGTCGTCGCCCTGGCCGTGGTGGGTTCCTGTGCGTCCAGGAAACTTTGCACACCGAAGAAGGTTGTTGGGCAGGCAGGGGTACTGGCTGACGATGAGCCAGTAGCAGCAGTTATAGACCAGACGCGTGGAGTGTGGGCGCCCGAGGCGGAACGACACTGCCGTTGAGAAGTGGCCGAGTGAATTGCGGAGAGATGAGGAAAAGGGGATGGCATGGAGCCAGTCCCCAGCCCTCGGTCCCATGAGGGAAATGAGGCACTGAGTATGGACCTATAGCTTGTTCAGCACGAGGCGATGGGTCGCATCGAAGAGGAATATGAAGTGCTCAAATTGGACCTCCAATGCAAGGGCTCGCTGTAGCTCGGGGCAGAGGAGCTCGCCAGTGGAGTGGGGCAGAGCGTCCTCAAGTATGCAAGCTGGCGAGGCAGCGGCACAATGGCGGTGGGGTCGGGGTCGAATATGGATAACAGGTGGGCCATGGCGACAGGGAGGGACCCAAGGAACTCGTTCAGGAAGTGTGCGATGGCGACGGTGGAGGTGAGGTAGGCGAGGGCGGCTTTATGGCTGGATTGCACAGCCCGAGCCCTCCTAGGTTCATGGGCAGGGACGCCTGCATCCACACCCGCCACCTCCTGCCTTCGGCACGGGGCAGAGGCAGGCGGCACGCCTCCACAGCCGTGTGGAAGGGACCATCCCCATAGCCGTCCCATTCCTTGGAAGGGAGACAATCCGAGGGGGATGGAACGGTGGAGGTAGCATGCGCGGCGAGCCAGGCACCAAGAGGAGAGGAGCAGTGCAAAGAGAGAAGGGATAGAGAGAGAGAGAGAGAGAGAGAGAGAGAGAGAGAGAGAGAGAGAGAGAGAGAGAGAGAGAGAGAGAGAGATAGAGAGAGAGAGAGAGAGAGAGAGAGAGAGAGAGAGAGAGAGAGAGATAGAGTGATGGAAAGAGAGAGATAGAGAGAGAGAGAAAGAGAGAGAGAGAGAGAGAGAGAGAGAGAGAGAGAGAGAGAGAGAGAGAGAGAGAGAGAGAGAGAGAGAGAGAGCGAGAGAGAGAGAGAGAGAGGACGCGGACGCGTCGTGCTCATTATTCTTTTAGCCTTTAACAAGTCCTCTGGTTTTGCCGGCTCGCGCCGGCGGCTGAAGGCCGCCGGAGCTCGCAGTGTGGCCTTTGGCCGCGCATCGGGGCAGGTGGCAAGCAGCAAATCAGTACATTGAATAGGCATACTGTAGCATATAACCATAAACATAGACCCCACAGCGCTATCCACCCTGGAACCACGACCTAGGCATGTGCCAAACCTAGGCAAACGGAATAGCTTGTGCGACCCCGCCCACGGTGTGACAACCCCACCATGGGCGTGAAATGTACCAAAACGGCGCCGAGGTTTACCCCGGGGGCAGCAGCTGGGCCATCACTTGCCACACGGCCCGTAGAACAGCAGCGGCAGAAGCTGCAAGACTCGCTGCAGTCTCAGCACCAACTGCCCGTGACAGCGCCGACACTGCCAGTGGCGCAGCTGCCGCCTCATCAACAGCTACGCGGGGCTGAAGAGGCACGTACACCAGCCCCCATAGCAACATCGCCACAGCTTCCTCCGCCCGGGCCCGCTGGTGCCGCGATAGCACTGGATCGCGGGCCACAAGAGGGTAACGTTCCAGAACCACGTGGAATACCTCTAGCAGCTCTGCCACCCAACCCAGACACTCGACAAGCCCGTTCAGCTGCTGCTGACAGCTGTACGCCGGACCATCACGCGACCGGCGCAAACGAGGGATCTGGGGATGCGGCGACCAGCGGAGGCGATTGCCCCCGTGAACAGTGCACGGAATCGCGGGTCGGGTGGCAGTGGATGATGGGAATCCTGCGAAGCGAAACTCCCATTCTAGGAACGAAACGGGCGCCTCCCCACGGCCTGATCACCTGTCAACTCGGAGCCGTCGCGGGGGTGCTGCGCCTCCCACACCCGCAGGTGGCTCCGGGGAGAGAGGAGCAGCTCAATTTCCATCAACGCACGCGGTGCGTCGCGGGACGAACGGAGGCGTGGGGTCCGACTGTGCAGCCGAAGCGGATGGCGTGAGGGGCGTGGACATGCCCGCGGCACCGGCAAACGCGCCAGAGCCGGGCGAGGATGCTGGCACAGCTGGGTGAATAGTGCGTCCTTGCGGACGGGGAGGACAGGCGGGGAGAAGGGGGCGGCGACGGGGAACAGGGGGAAACATGGGGATGCGGAGGTCCCAGCAGAGGCAACCTATCACACAAATGGGCGACTGGCGGGAACGGCACGGACGCCTGCTGGAAACAAGGACGAACGAAGACGGAAATGGTGGAAGTGGGAGTGGGAGCAGATATGAGTCAGAATGGGTGGGGAGCATGGAATATGTACCTGGGTCATCAAAGGAACCTGGGGCGGAAGGGATTTTTGATAGGGCTTTCGAAGATGATGCGATCCGCTGAAGGGGGAGGAGGGTTCGAGCCGCGAATTTGGCTGAGGAACCAGATTTGCCGGCCAATCAGAGCCAGGGAATGCAAAATCAAATTCGTCCCTAGGAAATCTGGCCGGTGACAAAGCGCTGTGGCACTGTGCCATCGGCTGGGGCCTCACACCATTACGCGATTCTTGGCAACCCTTCCTGGCGAGATATTTGCCTCCGAAAATACTGGGGATCTTTGCCAATTGCTTGCTGGTATCGCTCCAGCGCATCAAATCCCACCCATAGTGCCCGAGAGGATGGCGCAGCAATTTCGGGAAGGGAAATGGGAAGAACGGTATAGAGAAAGCAGGAAGTCCGCAACGACTGCCCCTTCTGCCCGCCACCTGTCGGACGCTACCGGCCTGCGCGCACGTGCCGAGGGCTTGGTTCAGAAAACGAACCTCCGAAAGGCACTCGCTGCATTACTACCCTTGCTAGCCTTGCCAACTACAGCTGTGACACTCACGGCCCTGCGCGAAAAACACCCAACGAGAACTGGCGAAAGCCCAACATACTAGCACGACGTCGCAGACAACACGCTGGAAATTGAACACGTCGCATTTCGCAGGTTACTAGCGAAATGCCAACGTGGCATCGGTGGTGGCCCATCGGGCACGTGCTTCGAGCACTTGCGGGACCCTGCCCTTCTCAACCTCCACGTGCTCAACCTACTCCTGCATGCGGTCAACCTGACTATTGGGGGCAAATTCGCGTTATACATATGCGAGATTCTGCTCCCAAGCAAACTAATCGCCCTCAGCAAACCAGGCAGCGGGGTTCATCCCATTGCAATTGGGGAGGCATTCCTGCACGTGGAGGCTAAGGTGGCACTACACGAGCTGACAGCAGCGACATGGGCATTCTTCATGCCACACCAGTTCACGGTGGCAGTGACAGGGGGAGCGGGGTGTGTGGGCCACACCGTCCGAACTCTGATATAGGCGTTCCTGTTCATATCATCCTACGGCTAGATGTTGCCAATGCCTTCAACAGCGTCCACCGCTATAGCTTCCTGCAGGTACTCCAGTGGAGCCCACTTGCCCCGCTCACCCCGCTTGCACTCACCCTCTACGGCGCGCCGTCACCGCTTGTGTGAGAGTATGACCCAG